AGACAATTTAGTATAGCATCACTGGGGGAATCTCACAGAGCGCATGATCCCGATCATGTATGTTAAAAAAATTAATGTCACTATATGTTCCTTATTGCATGCATAAATATCTATTTAATTCTGATAAAATTGAAATTTGCAGGCATCTCCTTTGGTTCCCGCTACTCATATGCGCATGGCTAGGGAATGACCAATTGAATGCCCGCGTATGATTTATGTCTTGACAAACCTGAGATTTCAAAATCTCAGACATTTTCAGTTGTTGGATCACAACTTGATCACGGCACTGGTGGAGAGATGATGTCCCTTAACGAACTCTTTTCATTTTACCATCAGTGAGATGACGATCACATTGCAGGATGTCCAAATTTTATTGGGCCTTAGAGTTGATGGACCTGCAGTGGTGGGCCCAAATGTTGTTGGGCAAGGATGTATATAAGAAATATGGCCGATTTGCTGTGACGAGTTACTAGGGACGTATCCTGGCAGGGATTCGATATACCACGCCCCAGATGATGAGGAGGATGTTGCGACATTCAGGATGACTTCATCACAAGTTGATTCTATGCTCCCACTACGTTGGCTCCACTGGACATTTTACAGAGAGTCATATGATAATTTGGCACCAGAGATTTTCATTCGACATGTCCGCGCATACATCCTATTCATGATAGATTGTTTTTTGATACCTGATACATCACTGAGTCATGTTTCTCTACAGTGGTTGCCTTTACTTGCGGATATTGACAGCTTTAGTAGGATGTCAATGGGAGGTGCCGTTCTTGCACATCTTTATAGGGAGCTGTGTTATGCGACAAGGCCGACAAGGACATATATTGCGGGATGTGTGGCACTCCTGCAAGTTTGGTCATGGGAACGATTGTACATTGGTCGACCGACACTGCGAATCCCTCAGATTTTTGACTTGGCCGGACTACTTTTGGGTTGCAGGTTAGTAAGCTTTAGTCAATAAAATTACAATTGTATTTTAAATAATAATATTTCGTACAAATTTATAGGTGGGCTGAAGATAGGATATGTGAGCTGCCTGCAGGCAATACAATGACGTATAGAGACGAGTTTGATGGTTTGCGTATGAGTCAGGTATAATAATATTTAGAAAATCTAAATAATTTATTTTTGTGCATAAATAATTAACACAATACCTATCACATTTTTCTAGGTTATCATGACTCCATATATCCAAGAAGTTTTATATGCTCTTCCAGTATAGTACAATGAAGGACAGGAGATTTGGAGGGCAAGAGTATCGCTGATTAGTTGGAAACGTGCAGAGTGGCACCTACCGGACCGAGTTGTAAGACAATTTTCAGGCGTGCCATCCACTGATATTGAACCCATGGATCCATCATTTAGGCGCATTGATGGCCTTGGTAGAGCAGATCAGGATTAGACTGTACAATACCGTGACTACCTCCAGATCTGGGAGGAGAGAAGGGCTTACGTGGTTCCCATCACTCCACTAGTAGGGGCAGGCAATCAAGAACTAGGAGCTTATCTACGGTGGTATAGATCTTGGGCATCCATCTACCTTTTACAACCTCAAACTGAGCCTCCAAAGACCTTCTTTTCTAGATCACCTAGTGAGAGATTAGTGGTACGTACTGTATTGTTATGTACAATGTATAAATTTTTTAGCATAAATTTTAAATTTAGTAATAATTAATATATAATTACTCTTTAGGCGGATTACTATATACGATCATTTGCGATACTTGAGCCACTAGCCGGGGGAGGGGGACAAAATGTTAGTTCATTGCAGATGGTTGTAGATCAGGTTGCTGAATTGTCTGCCCGAGTTCAACAATCAGTTTATATTGACTACACTTTGTTTGATACGGCCACGGAGGCAGATCAACAAACTAGAGAACGTGCAGGGAGTTCTCATAAGCAGCAACATAGTAGACGATCTGTTTCAGATGCTCCGTTCCGGTCGATGGGGAGCAGACACCGACAGACTGTTGTGCCTGATCCGCATCGGCATTCCATTCATACGCCATTCATTGGCTATGATTTCATGGGAGCAGGTCCTTCAGCCCCACATTGGAGCCTGCACGTTGGACAGTCTAGTCAACCAGGACATATTTATTATGGCACACAATACGAACAACCCAGCGCACAATCATTATTTCCAATGGCCATTCCATAGTGGATGTCATCAGTAGGATTACCTTCATTCCCCACGCAGCAGAACATTATGTTAACGGGAGGTTATCCTACAGAATAAGGTACACAACATTCACAACAATGTGCCGAGGTTGAGCAGGAGGAGACTGAGGTCTCAGATGAGCCACAATTACAGAGAAAAAGACGAAGGGCACCAAATAGATTTACTCCAGGGAGTGGGGCTTTACCTAGGCATCGTTAATATGAGATTTGAGATGTATTGTTGTGCTGATGTTTGGAATTTGACTTCATGTTGTAAACATTTATTCATATTATGAACTTTGCTTATTAAAAATGCTCGACTAGTCATAACTATTATTATAAGAATTTTTTTTTCTGACTGCTCATTTCTTCCTTCATTAGTTAGTGTTAAACAATAAAGAGAAATTCTAGACTACTCAAGCTTGTTTGCAAATATTTCATTTCAGCTACATTAATCAAGAATGTACTCCCACAATTTGGATGCTAGCAGCAGTGCCGAAACCAAACAATGGATTATAGAGGGTACCATCCAGGTGCGTGAAAGCTTATCTTGTCCTATCGATGAGGACCTTGAAGCCAGAGTATCATCAAATGAACTATTCAGGTGTGTTATATATACTTGGGATGAAGATGAAGATTACTTACTGTGGAACTTACATGATGATATGAAGAAAGCTTAGGAATATAGAGGTAACCCTGCACGTCGAGAGTTAGACTGGAAATGTCTACAAGAAGGCTTTACCAATTTTAAGCACCACCTTGTGGCAAAAGATTTCTTAAAAAAGTCGAATTCTAGAACTTAGTTGTGATAAAGACGATACAGTTGCACCAGGTATGGGAAGGTCCATGGATATAATAATTGTATTTTATACTCTTACTGGAAGTCTTATCATGATAAGCACATATTAGATTCTTATAAACAGTTGTTGCAAAGTTCAAAACATCCTAAAGCAAAGGAATTTCTTAATGGACAAGATTGACAGCAAATATAACAATAATTTCAGATCGACTTCAAATGTTATACTACACAAACACAGCTCCAAAATCATCTACAATATCTACTTAACAATATGAATCAGTAACTTCGAAAATGTACTTTATGTTGTTATTTCGTTATAAATTTAAAATGTACTTCGTGTTGTAATGTTGATGCTTAATATTTTTGTTTTTAATTGTTACTCAACATCTAATTTGTTTTATTAATGTGACTCTAGTTCTTCAAATCATTTTTTTTTTAATTTTATATATTATTATTTTTCTAATGATAACTCAAATTGCATTTGCTAAATATTCAGCACATAATGTCATCATCATCAAGGACCTCATCAATAAAGCGCTCACCATCAAGGGATTTCCTTCATATTATTCCAAGACAGAAGTTGATCTACGATGGTACTATTCGATTGACAGAATCTATGTCGTATCCCATGAATGAATTCTTGGAGGATAAAACAAGATCAAATGAAATTTTTTGATGTTGTTTACATGAATGGTCTTGTTATGAAGACGATATTTTATGAGATACATATCATGAAGTTATCAAAAGTCGTCATCTCATGTATATGGATGGAGAAACAATTACTGATATGGGTTGGAAATTTGTACAACAAAGGTTTAGGGATCATAATGGTTATTTTGCTCCTATAAGTATTCTTAGGACAATAATTCGTGAAATCGCACGGAAAAAAGAAGGTTCTGTTGTGGTCAATGTTGAGAATCCGATAACCGATGTGCAACATTGTATTCTTTATAAAAGGTGACATACTTATCAAGATGCATTTTTATCAGAAAAATATCAATAGCTGAATATTATAGATGGTCAAAAGGAGTTCTTAAATATAAAAGATTGGTAATACATCCAAAAGCAGTTCACAGAAAAATTTTTATGCTGTCCAACTTTAACCCAACTCCAAGCGCGTATGCGCATAGTACTGAGCCACATGTAATAATAATTTTTTTGATGTTGCTTTCAATCATTATCATATGTATTACCGTGAATTTGTGTTCATTAGTTTTCGCACTATTTCTATTCCAAATTTTTTCGATGTTGCTTTCAATCATTATCATGTGTATTAACATAAATTTTTATTTGTTTTGCTTCTACGGGTTCGTATCACTTCAGCCATCATTACTCAATTTTTTTTAATAATTATTACATATAACAATGATAACCTAATATATTTAAAAAAAAAAGAAAACCCAAATAAAATCAAAATAAATTATACCTTCTTTTAAATTATAAATTTTTTTAAAACTTTTCTTAAAAAAAAATTTTATTCTTGTTATTCTCATCTCTTAATAACTAATTCACACACTTAAAATTAACTTTAATAATGTATTTTAATATTAATAACATGTATATAAATAACTAAAACAAGAGCTGATGTCAAACCCTGCAATTTCCTTAAGAGCTGATGCCAAACGCTCTTTAGCTCATGTCTTACTTATACCCGCTCTGCTACACTCCTTAACTGCACGAAATTAATGGCAGCATTGAATTCCGGCCACTACATGTGAGATTCGGATCTGGTCTCCGGAAACGACAAACACAAATGCAAGAATATGGAATACGCCAAACCCTACGGTGTACTCCACTGAATGTGCCGGATCAGTCGGCGCATTCAATGAATGCGCCATTTCAATTGCCGCATTCTATGAATGCGCCATTTAGGAGAGCACATTCTACAAATGCACTACAGTGTTCGGCGTATTAGCTCGTTTTAAAATTTATTTCTGTTCACGCTCCTACCGCTAAATTAGGCTGCAACAATGCTCGTTCCGAAAATTTGGCCTATAAATTAAGTATTTTGAATTTTGTATTATGCATGTAGGACAAAGTGGAGATAAGACAGGGGCATTGGTTTGAACCTCTGCAGGATCTTCATGGAAAACTAAGTGGATTGGTTAGCAATCCACCATACATACCAAGCAGTCATATTCCTGGCTTACAAGCTGAAGTTGGTAAACATGAACCTAGTCTAGCACTGGATGGAGGGATGAATGGCATGGATCATCTTCTTCATCTTTTTGATGGGTTGATCTCAGTTCTAAAACCCGGTGGCTTCTTTGCTTTTGAGGTAATACTTGTGCTCGCAATGCATTCTTTCTAGGCTTATGTAGGTATTTGTGGAATTTTCCTTCCCTTTCTTGCTTAGCAACAAATTAAATGATCTAATCTATATTCTGTGTTATTTAGTCTCTCTTATAATAAAAGCGAAACCATATATGATTTTACTTTATTGTAATGGCTCAATATTCATATACATAAGAAGGTCAATTTTATAGATGGCCTCTTTGGCTCAGAATGTAGCCATTTTTTTTATCGAGGTTGTTGTTCATCAGTACAATCGCTTATTCTGGATATAAGGTAAATTAAGTTGTGCCTTATGTAAAGAAGGGCTGCCCATATGCACAGAATGAATGCAATCAAAATTATCAGGACATGTAATTTTTCATTTTGAGTAGCATTCCTTATAAAAGTGAATTGCTACAGTTGATCTCAATGCTTCACTTGAGTGCTACAATTTAAGTTAATTTTTATAGGTAAGTGGTTGGATTATGCTGGGGTTCAGTTAGTTGTAAATTAGCTTTAATGCTGGTAGACTTTGACTTTGCTTTCTTTTTAGTGTAAGCTGCTTACACCTTTTATTGTTGCTCACACTATTGACATGCCTTTTGTATATTTATGCGCAGTTAGAGGTTTTTGCATCATCCTTTTCTTCATTGGTAGGGCGTTGACAATCATTGGATACAAGTTTGTATGACAAGCTTCATGATAGGCAAATGGTTCTTTATTAAAATCATTTTTTGAATAGAGTCTAGCTCCATTGTTAGCTATTAGGAGTTAATCATCATTATAATTAGCCTTATTTGAATTAATCTTGGCTAGTTTTATGCATCATCCTTCTGCATTCATTAATCATTTGAATTATTAATTCTATCTATCTGCATTATTATTACAATTTACATTTTTTTTTTCATATGTTTATCTTGCCTAAATCACCCAAGTCAATTTTTAGTACCTTATCTTCAATAGTTGATTTTCCTATTATCACTTTAATATAATATTTTTCACTCTATCCATTAAATTTTTACACTTTTACCACAAATTCATTGTTAATATTATTATTTCCGCCATGCTCAACTTATAATTTATGCCTTCTTCTTGTTTAACTTATGAATCCTTTCCTATGTCCAATCTAGTTTTAGTTTTACGAAATTGGACATTTGAACCTTGATGATATTCTCTTATCAAATAGCACTCTTAAAATACGTCTCCATTGTAACGTAAGTATTAATCGATCTATATTTTCTTCCCTTTTATAAGATATATCTTAAATCTCCAACAATGCTGATTAATAATTATTACCCTAACATCTGTTAAAATTGTATATCATATACTCATACTATTTTTATTAATTTTAGATTTTTTTAACTTCTAGAATTTTCTTTACTGCTTTAAATTATAACTTCCTAAGAACTGGTTTTACTATGAAAACTATCATTTATAAATACCATATTCCAGTATATATCATCTTAAATATCTTTGTAAGTATCTCCATATCCATTATAAAAAAGAAACATGTTTAAATGTTGGTTATTGATATAACCTTACTTATTGCGTTTGAAAAGTCTTATACGTAGTTCTAATAATATTCTTTACATCTCTCTCTCTCTCTCTCTATATATATATATATATATATAATAGTTTCAACATATCTTTATTACACACATTTTCACATTAGTGCCTTCCAATCAATTCTCATGAATTTTATGCTCATTCTAGACCAATAAAATTGATAAGGAGTGCTTTCTTGTCTCTCTATACCACACAAAAATTTTCTTTTTCTTTTAATTAAAATACGGTTGCTTCTACAATGTCAGCGTGGTATTTCTTAGTCTTTGTTCCATTAGCTATAAAAATTTGAAAGGTGGAAAACATTATTTTTGCTTTTTTCTATTTCAGCATTTTTTTTTTAATTTCACCATTATATCCAGTAACTACTCTTTGCTTAGGGTTGGTTAAAAAGCTTGAAACTCAAAATCAAATGTGTCAGTTGGATTCAAAACTATTTGTGGGTGACATCTGAATCTTACTAAGAATAGACATTAAAAGAGAAGAGGAGAGAGAAAAAAAAGCTTAGAGAGAAGCTTTGGATATCCACTAGAATGTTAGAAAGTATAAGAGTGATGTGCACAATGAATATGTCAGAATATATTTGGTTCATCTTTTGACCTCTTATTTATAGGCTTGGGTCAAAGTACAATATTACAAGAAAGGATATAATTGAGAAATGTAATTGAAATTATATAGCAAGAATTAACCAGTCTTTGTTGTAAATTGTATAAGCCTATCTAGCTTGTAGCTATCTAATTACATGAATAGCCATTAAAGAGGTCTATATAAAGAATGAGATCTTTGAGAATAATATTTCTTTGATGAATTATTTGGCAACTTCACTCTGAGCTATCAAGTTACTTTGGATTCTTGGGTGATTTTAATAATTGGTTTTATTGGCAACTTCAAGTAATCTTTGGGTTGAATGGAATTTTAGCTAAGTTCAAACATAATGCCTGAGTACTGAAGTAGTATGCGAAATAACTTGATAATTTAATTATTTCGGCCAAAATGTTATTGAGCATACATAGTTGATTTCGAGTATGGCTTTATTCACTATTATAGTTTGAGTTAACTTGAATAGAATTTGAAATAAGTATTTATATATTGCATGATATTAATACTATAAGTATTTTATTTATGATTCCTTAATTATTATATTGATAATCAACAAATAAATTTGAAGTTATAAACAAATTTTAATACTTTTTGAGGAATATACTAGTTATCAAAATAAACATCTTCATTTAAATTCCTGAACAATTTAAGTTACCATTTTTCTCACAAATTTTATGCAAATAATTCATAGTGAAAAATATTTTTTGATCTGCATCTGATTTCCTCCTTGCCATGAATGTTAATCTGAATTCATATCGTGGAAACTATTCACTCATTTGGTGGATTGGGGCTTTTTTTAATTGTGGACATTCTCATCAATCTATGCAATTATGGCCAATGCACTTGGGCACAAAAGCAATGGCAAAGGGTGCATATTTCTCCTGAAGGCGTAATTACATTTGCTTATCAAACGAGAAAGGAGATTCTACCAACCGAAGAGAACCTGTGAGACATAATAAAGTATAAAAAATTTTAAGGGATGCTAATTCAGTAAACAAGTTATTAAAGAAAAATAGATTTCCACATTTAATTCCATGATCTTAATCGACCCCATATAGTGGGATAAAGACTTATTGTTGTTGTATTTAATACCATGAACTTAAAATCAAAATTATTAATGGCTAGAGCTGTGGTAGGAATTTAACTTTGTTCCTACCAAATAAAACCAAAGCAACTCACTCACCTCATTTCCTCTCTCTCTCTCTCTCTCTCTCTCTCTCTCTCTCTCAAAGTTCAGCTCTCTCTCTCTCTCTCTCTCTACTTGGCCCATTTCAAGTATTTATTTTGTTATATTAGGTAGGCCAATGTTGTTAGTTCCCCATTCCTGCATTCTTAATTCAATCTTCTTTACATACCGTAAGTATGGTTTGCTATTTAAATCCACAGAGCTTTGATTGTGCTTTTAAATAACCCATATCTTTTATTGCATCTCATATTTTCTCTTTTTAATACCCATTCCATAGGAATTATCAAGTATGCACAAGTTTTATTTAAAAAAAAAAAGAAATTAAGTAAACTTTAAAGAAATTGTGTCCAAGTTATAGGAACTGATGGAGCATAATTGAGCAAAAATTTGGAAAACAAAGTTAGGTTATTGGGCATGTACAATGAAGGAGAGAACATGCACCAGTAAGACAACTAATAAAATTAATACTGACAAATTAGGTAGAAAAATAGGTAGACTAAAGCTAACTTGATAGAAGTAGTGGAAAAAGATTTGAAAAATGGATCAATATACAACACTCAACAGGATAAATGAAGAATGAGAATTCATAAAGGCAATCACAAATAATTGGGATAAGACTAATTGTTATCATGCTAAGTTATTAAAGATATTACAATTGTATGGTTAAATAAATGAATGAAACTCAAAATCCTTTATAGTAAAAAGGACTTGAAATTGTTGAAGCAAAACATTTTAGTGCCAATTTTTAATATAATGAACTGTCCAAAGTTGTAATAACTAAAGAATTGCAAGTTTATCTTTCATATAATAGAACAATAGAGGAAGCGATGAAACTAAGGATGAGAAAATTATATTTGTATCATAGAATCTATCTGAATTTTTGCTAAGAGAATGAAGAATATTTTGGAGATGATTTATTCCCGAAGGAAATTGATGGAAATGTGTAGAATGATATGGTCTTCACATGTATGTATTCGAGTGCCACAAGATTTGATTTGATCAACATTAAGGAGAAAAATATTTGTTGAAATATGTGAATTTATAAAATGTGTATAGATTTAATGAGTAATATTAGTGGTTGTTGTGATAATTTCTATCATTATAGGGTCACTTCTAGGATCAAAATTGAGTATTTTTAGCAAACTTAGTTATACTCACTTCTAATTATTCAAAAACACCTTAGAGCTTTATTTCCAATTTTTAGAGTTTTTACGATCTTTCAAACTATTTCAGTGTCCTTGCTAGATTGCTCAAATTAACAACCAATTTTGTATTGAAAATTGATCGACCAAAGTTGTGTCCAAATTGATCTACCATTTTTTTGAAGTTTTTCAACCAAATTGGTTGATGTTGTCTATCTAATCATACAAGGCTACATTGTCGAAGATGTTACAAAAATTGATGATGTCTTGATATGAAAATAATATGAAGAAAATGGGATCTAAATAGTAGGTGTACAAGGCAAAAGATGATACGCTGGATTAAAACAAAAAAAAAGTGTCTCCTACAGCTCTACTATTAGCTTCTCACGTTGAATAAAAGGACCTAATGTCCATGCAAATAACTTTCATTTATTATCAATCATCTCATAATAAATAACTCCATTATAAAAAAAACTTTATTTATGCTATAGGCTCCTTCATAACAAACCCACA